ATCCGAAAAGCCAGAGGGGAGGGAAAGGGGATGGGAAAGCCCTTCTGCCACTTGGCAGGAGAGCTCTGGGCGCGCAGGATTTCGGGAGCCGCTCCCGGCAGAGCGGCGCGTTCTTCTCCCGGCCGCAGGGAGAGGCGCGGCCGGCCCCGCGTCCCGGATTATCGGCACAACTTGCCCCCACGGCTGCCTCGATTCCCAGGCACCGTGGGTTTTCCCCTCTCGCCTCTCGCTTTCCCTCCGGCAGGAAGAGTTTCTCCTCTCAATTAGTGGCCCGGCTCTCTTCCCTGATGGCCCATAAAATAATTAAAACGAGCCCCAAAGTGGAACAGCCTTTAACCCTCCCGCCCCGCTCCCCATTGTTCAGATTAACGAATCAACTCTGCATCATTAATCTCTAAACTGCGCTGTTGAAGGAGCAATTTGTGTACAATAACGAATGGAACAGGTATTAAACATTTCTTAAGCACACAGTACACAAGTTACTCATTAAAGCGGAAAACGTGTTGAAACATTAAGCAGAAAGCAGGGACCATAAACCATCCCTTTTCCGTCCTTCTGAGGAGCCAACCACGTTTTCACGCCCGTTTGAGCACACGTATAAATACACCTCCTGTTTTTAAGGCAGGCACTGGAAGGGCCTTGTGGGACCGGCAGCTCCAAGCTGTGCCGGGCGGACGGCGGTCAGCACCCGCCGGGTCTATCGTTCATCGATTAGGGATGAACGTTGGGTCTGGCACTACGTGGCCGAGCAAGTTCTTTGATGATGAGGCAAAGTTAAACCGCTTCAGGGGTCTCATGGGGTTGGCAGGAGACGCATTGAGGGAAGACAAGGCGATGCCAGCCTGGTTTCGGGATGGAGGGATCGGTGACAGGCTCGGTCTGAGCCGAGGAAGCTCTTGGAGCAGCCGGGGGACATTCCCTTACCTGATCAAGTAGCAACAGAAGAGCAAACTGAGGATGAAGACGAAGATGGCCGTGCCGAAAACCACGATATATATGTTGAGAGGCAGGTTCTGGAACCCGATGTTCGGCATCCTGAAACTGTAATGCTGGAAGTCCGAGCTCATGGGTAGGCTGAGGGAGAAAACACAGGGATGTGAGGCTCCTCCGGCAGCACGGGCTGCCCTGCCGAGACCCAGGGTCCCTCCAAAGGCAGGCGGAGCAGGGAAGGAGAGGGGCACTGAGCAGCGCCGCCGCCGCCTCACTCCTCGCCCCCTGAGGCGAAGGCATCCTTGCCCAAAACTGAGCCCCCCAGCTCGGTAACCCTGAAAACAAAGCGGGGCTGGATCAGCCGGGGCTGGGGTTTGTCTGCTCCCGCTGGGAGCTTCTCCTCCAGCTATTTTCCCCTCTTCCTTACGAACATCATCCTTCAAGTTAAATGCTGCATCAGCTGGACGGCAGGGATCTGCATCCGAGCTGCCCCAGCTGCAGCCGAGGATCCCCAAACCCCTCGTTAATTAGGCCCAAATACCAAAAGCAGCCAAAAAGCCTCGTAGCAAGGCAGGTTTCCCTT